TTAAATAAGAGAAACTAAAAAAAAAACCCACAACAACACTAAATTTTCAAAATTGTTCAACAAGCAAGCCTGGGGAAAGCAAAATAGACAGTAGAGAAAATAGCAGCAATCTTTGGCATAGTAAATAAAAAAAATGTTAAAATGTTATCTGATAATTATGTGAAAAACCACAAAAACAGAGTGGACTCAAATAAATAAAATCAGAAATGAAAGAGAACTGACACTTCAGAAATACAAAGGATAGCCCAGCTGTCCTGGCTCAGTGGTTGAACATCAACCTATGAACCAGGAGGTCACCGTTCGATTCCGATCAGGGCACATGCCCGGGTTGCAGGCTCAATCCCCAGTGTGGTTGTGCAGAAGGCAGCTGATCCATGATTCTCTCTCATCATTGATGTTTCTCTCTCTCCCACCCTCTCCCTTCTTCTCTGAAATCAATAAAAATAAAAGAAATACAAAGGATTGTAAGAAAATACTATAAACAACTATATGTCAAGGAATTGGACAAACTCGGCAAAATGGATAAATTTCTAGAAACATACCATCTTCTGAAAATGAATCAGGAAGAATAAAAAAAACCTGAATAGACTAATTACAAATAATTAAATCAAAGCAGTAATAATAATAACAATAGCTCTAATCGGTTTGGCTCAGTGGATAGAGCGTCGGCCTGTGGACTGAAGGGTTCCGGGTTCAATTCCGTTCAAGGGCATGTACCTTGGTTGCGGGCACATCCCCAGTTGGGGGTGTGCAGCAGGCAGCTGATCAATGTTTCTCTCTCATTGATGTTTCTAACTCTCTATCCCTCTCCCTTCCTCTCTGTAAAAAAATCAATAAAATTTATTTAAAATAACAATAATAACAACAACAATAATAATAAAACTCCCAGGCAAGCAAAAGTCTTGAACCAGATGGCTTCACAGGTAAATTTTATCAAACATTTAAGGGAAAAGTTATACCTATCCTTCTCAAACTATTCAAGAAAATTCAAGAGAAGGGACGACTTCCAAGCTCTTTTTATGAGGCCAGCATTATCCTAATTCCAAAACCAGATGGAAACAATACAAAGAAAGAAAGCTTGCCCTAACTGGTTTGGCTCAGTGGATAGAGCATCCGCCTGCGGACTGAAGGGTCCCAGGTTCGATTCCGGTCAAGGGCATGTACCTGGGTTGCGGGCACATCCCCAGTGAGGGGTGTGCAGGAGGCAGCTGATGGATGTTTCTCTCTCATCGATGTTTCTAGCTCTCTATCCCTCTCCCTTCCTCTCTGTAAAAAATCAATAAAGTATATATTTTTTTAAAAAAACTCTGGGGCAATATCCCCAATAAACAGATGCTAAAACCCTCAACAATATATTAATAAACTGGATCCAGCAATACATTAAAAAGATCATACACCATGATCAAGTGGGATTTATTCCAGAGATGCAAGGTTAGTACAATATTAGCAAATCAATAAATGTGATACATCCACATTAACAAAATGAAGGATAAAAATCACATAATCATATCAACAAATGCAGAAAAAGCATTTGATAAAACCAAAACCCATTTATGATTAAAAACTCTCAGTAAAGTGGGAATGGAGGGATCATATCTCAACATAATAAAGGCCATATATGACAAACCAACAGTCAATATCATATTCAATGGGCAAAACCTAAAAGTGTTTCCCTTAAGTTCATAAACAAGACAGGATGCCCACTTTCACCACTCTTATGCAACATAGTATTGGGAGAAGTATTAGCCACAGCAATCATATAGGACGAACAAATAAAAGGCATCCAAATGGAAAAGGAGGAAGTAAAACTGTCATTATTCACAGATGGCATGATATTGTACATAGAAAACTGTAAATATTCCACCAGAAAAAACTTCTAGATCTAATAAATGAATAAAGCAAAGTAGCTGGATACAAAAATATTCAGAAATTGGTGGCATTTTTATATACCAATAATGAACTATCAGAAATAGAAATTAAGAAAACCATCTCACTTACTATCACAACAAAAGCATGAAGTACCTAGGAATAAATTTAACCAATGAGGTAAAAGACCTGTCCTAGGGAAATTATGAGATACTGAAGAAAGAAATTGAGAAAGACACAAATAAAGCATGGATAGGAAAAATTAGCATCATTAAAATGTCCATACTACTCAAAGCAATTTGCAGATTGATTGCAATTCCTATTAAAATACTAATGGCATATCTCACAGATCTAGAATAAATATTCCAAAAATGTATATGGAAGCAAAAAAGACCCCAAATAGCCTCAGCAGTCTTGAGAAAGAAGAACAAAGTTGGAGGTATCACACTACCTGATATCAAACTATACTACAAGGTCATAGTAATAAAATCAGCATTGTATTGACACAAGAACAGGCATATCGATCAATGAAACAGAATAGATAGCACAGAAATAAACCCATGTTTTTATGGGCAATTAATGTTTGACAAAGGAGGCCAGAACATACAATGGGGTAAAGACAGTCTCTTTAACAAATGGCGTTGGGAAAATTGGACAGACACATGCAAAAAATTAAAACTGGACTACCAACTTATACCATACACAAAAATAAACTTAAAATTGATTAAATACTTAAATATAAGTCACAAACCATAAAAATCCTAGCATAAAACATAGGCAGTATAATTTCAGGCATTTCTCACAGCAATATTTTTGCTGATATATCTCCTGAGGCAAGGGAAACAAAAGAAAAGGTAAACAAATGGGACTACATCAAACTAAAAAGCTTTTGCACAGCAAAAGAAACCATTAAGAAAATAGAAAGGGTACCCACTGAATGGGAGATCATATTTGCCAATGATATATCTGATAAGGAGTTAATTTCCAACATATATAAAGAATTTATACTACTCAACACCAAGAAGACAAACAACCCAATTAAAAAAATGGGCAATGGACTAGTATAAATACTTCTCCAAAAAGGACATACAGATGGCCAAGAGAAATATGAAAAAATCTTCAATGTCACTAGTCATCACAGAGATGAGGATTAAAAGCATAATGTGATATCACCTCATGCCTGTCAGAATGGTTTTCATCAATAAATCAACAAACAACAAGTGTTGGCGAGGATGTGGAGAAAAGGGAATCCTAGTGCACTGTTGATGGGATTGCAGATTGGTGCAGCCACTGTGGAAAACAGTATGGAGTTTCCTCAAAAAGTTAAAAATCAAACTTGCTTTTTGAATGCCATATGATCTCACTTATATGTGGAATCTAATGAACCAAATAAACTGAGGAACAAAATAGAAACAGAGGCATGGATACATGGAACAGACTGACAGCTGTCAGGGGGGAAGGGGGTTGGGGAGCTGGTGAAAAAAAGGTGAAGGGATTAGACAGAAAAAGTGTGGATCTGAAAGCAAACTGCCTGGGTTCATAGTTGGGCTATGTACTTACTAGCTGGCTAATTAATTATCAGTTAGTTACCTCATCTTTCTTAGCCTGATTCTTCATCTGTAACATGGGGATAATAATACCTATCTTGTAAGGTCCTTATGAGGATAAACTAAGTTAATCCATGTAAAGCACTTAACCAAGGGTCTGGTGCATAATAAGCACTTAACATTGTTACTCTTTGGACCAGGCACTGTATTTAGTGTTTTCTGTACATGATGCTATTGAGTTGTTACAATGACCAAGATGTCACCTATGGAAGCTGACTGCTAGAGAGAGCCCTTCCTACTTGTGCTACAGTTGCTTTTGAGTTTTATTGCCCACCTTTTATAGCTGAGGAAACTGAGGGTCAGAGAGGTAATTTTGCTCAAGGTGCCTTAGCTATATATGGATGATCTGATTCCAAAGCCCAGCAAGATCATTTTACTACATCAGAGGAAGAAGAGAAAGAAAACAGAAAGGGGAGAGCTAATGCTGGGGGAGAGAGGACTACATTGGGTTTTATCTCTAAGAAGGGCCTAAGATACCTTTGGGGCCAATGCAAAGCCAGGCCAGCAGAAGGCGGGGTGGGTGGAGCTGAGCCAAGGAGGAAGGGATAAATGCCAGGTCCTGACCCACAGCATCTACCCAGTCGTTCGTTCGTCCTCAGTGCAGGGCAACAGGTAAGAGTGACTTTCATCCTGGTGCCCTCTTTCTGGTCTGTCTACCCACCTAAAGGCTGCACATGCTAACTCTCTACCCTGGCTAGATCTGACTTTGTTTCTTAGAATCTGTCTCTCTGTCATTTCCTCTCCCCTTCCCCCCATGTATTTTCCTGCTTTTCCCTATTTTTAACTTTTTTTGTCTTTCCCTCCTTGTTTCCTCTCCTTTGTTAGTTTTCAAGGTCACTTACTTCAGTTCATCTCTCTCTGACACACTAGCTTTCTCTTATTTTCCCTTCTTTGCCTGAATGCTGTCTGTGTTCTCTCTCTCTCTCTCTCTTTCTCTCTCTCTCTCTCTTCCTTCTATTCTGCTCAGTCTCTGTCTTTCTGTCTCTCTCTTCCTCTACTTCTCTCTCTCCCAGAAAGATGTCCTGATATTTCTTCCAGCAATTCTCCATTCCTCTCTCACTTTGACTCCTTCTCTCTGCTTAGCTGTAGCATAGATCTATGAGTCAGAGCCTAGGGGGACAGAAGTAGGAAGAGAAAACAGGACATGTAGAGATTATGGGAATAATGAATTGGAGAAAGATTTGAAGGAATTGAGAGATGGATAATTAGTAGAAATAAGGGGGAACCGTGAAAGAGGAATGCTGTGTCACTGAAAGAGCCCTGTGCTGAAAGTCAATAGATTTGTTTTCTCATACCAATTCCTTGTGAGACCCTCTGAAAATGGAGCTTAGCCTATGATGTCCATGGCTTCTTTTAATTTTGTGGTCTTCTAAATTTTTCTGTTTTTAAGAATTTCTGATTTCTGCTTCCTGTTATCTAAAATTCGCTATGATTCTTTCATGATGGAGAGAGGTTGCTAGGAAGGGAAGTAAAACCTGATGCTTCCAACTCCTGTAATTAAGTGTCCACATCTACTCCAGACCTAACCTATTCTTACAAAGCAGGCCACAAAGAGGAAAGAGGGGGCAAGGAATGCTACAATTAGTGGTTTCTGGCTCTCTGCTGGGGTAGAGTTGTGGTTGGCCCTTCTGATATCAGGGACTACAGATTGGCTGCTGACATGAGAGATGATTTTAAGGTACAGGGAAAACCTTCTAGTAATGATCTGTCACTTGGCCCAAAATTGCACTATTATGTCTTTGAATAAAACCATTGTTTTAATAAGACCCTTGGCAAGGATTGCCACACAATGGGTGCATAAGTTATTAAGTGGTGGAATGAATGAATGAATGAATGTTTACTAGTGCCTGAAATTCTACTTCAGTTAGAAATATGTTTCTTTGGTAAAGGCATTGGTTACATTTCAAATTCAACTATTCCAGAAAGGAGCCTGTTAGTGCAGTAGAGGGGCTTGACCTCTGGAGTTGAGCTCTCAGTCAAGAATACATGTAGTAATAGTTAAATCACAGATCCACAGTGGTTAAGTTAGTAGGATCTGTAACCAGATTCCCCAGGTTCAAATCTTGGTTCTCCTACTTAACTAACTCTGTGACCCAGACAGGTTACTTAATTCTTTTGAGCCTCAGTTCCATCAACTTTGAAATAAAGTTGTCATTAGTGTCTACCTTGCAGAGTTACAAGGATTCAATAAGTTAATTCATGTGAAGTATTTCCAGCAGTTAGTACTATATGAGTGTTTGCCTATTAGAATCTGATGGATTCTATGAAATTATCTATTCTGTGGAGAAACTGAGGCCCAGGGAGAGAAAGTACAGGACCCAAATTCACATAGTAAATTATAACAGAATAAGGGCAAGAATGAGGGTTGGGACAAGAATCAATTTTTGAGACCTGGTCTGATGTATTCATGATGTAACTTCCCTTATAGAAAGCAAAAATAATAGCTAACACTTTTTCAGTGTTTACTATGGAATAGACACTCTTCTATATACTTTATATAGATTATCTTACTGAATCTTCACAACATCCCTGTGAAGTAGATGGACCTTTTTATTATCTACATTTACAGATATAAGACACAAAGCAGAGATGTAATTTTTCTAAGGTCCCAGAGCTAGTGAGTGATAGAGCCAGGATGCAAACCCAAATAGTCTGGCTCCAGGCGCTGTGCTTTTAATACCCCAAATTGCTAAAAGACTTCTTTTATTCAATTTTACTCACTCCAGTTTCATGACGGGTAGTGGGATGGATTGTAAACAGAATCCAAGGTAAATAGACTGCAGAGTTTTGGGTCATAAAGATGGACAGAGTGAGGTGGGACAAATTCCAGGAAAGGAGTAAAAGAACAGAGTAATTGGAACTGAAACTTGAAAGAACTTGATAGTTCAACAAATTCCAAGAAGTAGTCTATATTTTTCTAGGTCCCTGAGAACAGCATAGCCAAAACCCCTTAGAGATGATGAGTGTATTGCACTTTTTCCATTTTTATACAAGGGAATGGGAGTAGGCTTTAATTCACCATCATCCCAAAGCAGGACTTGACTTTGCTTCCGATCTTCGAGGCTCTCCTTACTATTACATGTCCCACTGTTGTCATTACTTTCAGTGTTGATATTGGAGAAAAGCATTTCTAAGAGCCTGGAACCTAGCTATTTGTTTTGCATTCCTCTCCCTGGGTGATCCACCCCTCCTCACCACCAATAGCCAGAGTCAGCCCCAAGCCAGATGCTCAGGCGTGATTCTAGAAAGGAGCTCCTCTTCTCTCCCACACCCTGGTCTCATCTGGGGAGCGGTCATACCTCAGTGGCGATAAACTCTTAGAGCTTTATCTGTGGTCTGCAGGCTCAGCCTCAAGTACTTTAGCCTTTGCAGGCAGGAAGGGAAAGAAAAACTCATATCTCCAGATATAACGTAGGCATTGGGCCCAGTTCATTACCTTCCACATGAGGTAGGCATAAATACTTTACATTTGACAGCTGATGAAAGCTGAGATCAAGAGGGGAAGTGACTTTTCAAGAATGTCCAATAGGGAGTTGGAGAGCTAGAATTGCAATAAGAAAAGCTACCATTTATTGAAAACGATGTGCTAGGCACTGTCTTAAAAGCTTAACATGATGAGTTTCATTTAATCCTTTAAACACCCCTTGACTTTTTCCAATTTCAAGGCCTACACACCCTGCCCCACCTACTAATCTCTGCTCCTATGACAGCCTGTGAGAGTTAGACGATGCTCTAGGGTGAAACAAGGGGAAGAGATTGCTTTGTGAGTTAGGGAGCACATGCTTGCTTTGTGAGACCTGGAAGGGAAGGTGTTGCTTGGTAAGAGGTGTAGGAGGTTGCCATATGAGAAAAGGGCCATGAGCTCTTTCTGTTCACTTGTCGCTTACAATGTAAGACCCTATATCTAATAGCATAGAGGTGCTATTAGATTCTACCCAGTAGTTTTCCTGGTGATGCCAAGGCCTTAGTCTTCCCACATTCTTTTATATCTTTCCTATAGTCTTGTCCCATATCTTATCTCTTGATCCTCTGATACTGGATATCCAATTTGCCCTTTTTCTTTTCATCTGTTCCTCCCTCTTGCTCTCTCTAGCTGTCTTTCTCTCAGCCCTTCCTCATATCAACCCCCAACCCACCTTAACCACCTCTCTGTCTCTATTGTTTTATCTTGTCTCAACTCCCTTCTGTCACTCTGTCTCTGTCTCATCTCCCTCAACAGGGCCGTGCTCCTCTTCCCCGAACTCTTTTTAAAAATTTTTTTTATTGATTAAGGTATTACAAATGTTGCTTTATCCCCCCCCCCCATTGTCCCCTCATCTCCCCAGTCTTGCCCTCACCCTTACCCCCTGTTGTCTGTGTCCATTGGTTAGGCTTATGTGCATGCATACAAGTCCTTTGGTTGATCTCTTCCCCTTACCCCCACCCTCCCCTACCTTCCCTCTGAGGTTTGAGCATCTGATCCATGCTTCTCTGTCTCTAGATCTGTTTTTGTTCTTAGTTGTTCTCTTCCATCCTCACAATCTCTGACAGCGTTTCTCCTTTATTTTTGTGCCTGACTGACTCTCTGCCCCTGCTAAATTCTCTCCATTCCTACTCTCAGTTTTCTGAGTCTTTGTATATTCCTCTATGCTCATTGATCTGTCCACATTTCTCTCTCTCTCTCTCTCTCTCATTGTTAACCCCGACCTCAGGATATTTTTTCCATTGATTTTTAGAGAGAGTGGAAGGGAAAGGGAGAGACAGAGAAAAACGAGACACATCGATTGGTTGCCTTCTGCACACACCCCGACCAGTGCCGGGGAACCTGCAACCAAGGTACATGCCCTTGACCGGAATTGAACCCTGGACCCTTCAGTTCGTGGGCCTATGCTCTATCCACTTAGCCAAACTGGCTAGGGTTGTCCTCATTTCTCTTTTGTGTCCTTCTGTCTCTGCCTCTACCTCTGCTTTCTCATTCACTAATATCTCTCCCATCATCCTCTTGTCCTCTGTTTTTCTGGAGCAGTCCTCTTCTCCTTGTTCTTATCTCTACCCTCCCTTTTCCGTCTGGCTTTTATCTTTTTCTCTCTTTCACAATTTCTGTACTCTTCACTCCACTACCATGACTATACATTTGTTGTCTCTCACTTTCCTTCTTTTATCTTTCCTAATTTTTCTATTCTCCTGACTCTTCCCCTACTCTCCTCTTTTCTCCATTTGAGTCTCTGTTCACTCATTAGTTTACTCCCATATTCAACAAATATTTATTGAACACCTACTATATGTACTTGGTGTGTTTTTTATGATCTTCTCTCTGTCCCCTTTCTCTCCTCTGTCTTAGCCTCCATCTCTTTCATTCACCCATAGACTTGTTCCCCAGGCCCCTTGAGTCTTGCTTTCACCTCCTTCTCGATCTGTGCTTTTCCAAAATACAGAAGCAAGTCCAAGAACAGCAAAATACCATTCTTGGGAAACATGATTTGTAGGGCCTAGGGCAGTGATGGTGAACCTATGACACGCGTGTCAGAGGTGACACGTGAACTCATTTTTTGGTTGAGTTTTCTTTGTTAAATGGCATTTAAATATATAAAATAAATATCAAAAATATAAATCTTTGTTTTACTATGGTTGCAAATATCAAAAAATTTCTATATGTGACATGGCACCAGAGTTAAGTTAGGGTTTTTCAAAATGCTGACACGCCGAGCTCAAAAGATTCGCCATTACTGGCCTAGGGCCTGCCATTTTGTCCTATTCCCTGAATATACTTAATCTGGTACCTGTGGCCTCACACTCCTTCTCCCTCTCTGCCTGGGCCTGCTCAGGAAAATCTCTGGGATGAGGCTCAGAAGCCCTGATCAATGGTATCTTTGTGTATTTTCAAGCTGAATCTCCACTGGGCTGAGGCCTTTTTTTTTTTTTTTTTTTTTTTTTTAAATTCTTGGCCTTTAGCAGTGATTCACAGAGTTAGTGGATTGTCAACTCCCATCCTGGCCACAGTCACACTTCAATGACAGGCTTTCTGACCTCCAGTTGGAACTCTTTCCTTCACCTCTTTGCTTAACAACTAGTTTCCTATTTCTTCCTCTTTGATGCCCTATTCGTACATTTAAACATTGGGGAAGTTCTTACCCTGAAAGGACAATAAGGGCAAGCATTGGGTAGGAAGCTAAAGACAAAGAATCCAATCCAGGAAAGACCCTTGGCTTTTGGCGAGGACTTCATGATGAGATCTCCTCTCTTCCACATCTTCTGCAGGACTTCGGGCTCAAGATGGTGGCAGCAGTCATGTTGCTACAACGCTGTCCTGTGTTTGCCCGGGGTCCCTCAGGCCCCCTGGGCAAGCTTATTAAGACTCACCAGTTTCTTTTTGGTAATGGATGCTGTCCCATCCTGACCACCCAAGGACCAACCTGTTCTCAAATCCACCTTAAGGCAACCAAGGCTGGAGGAGGTAAGAAGAAGCTACTGGAAAATGGGGAGAATGTCTGGGTTCTAGACACAAGGTCCCAAGTCATACCATTCATCATTGCCTAATGATTGGTAGGGTTTATGTGAA